AACCTGAGGGACTGGGAGAATGATATTGCCCTTTATAGTGATAAAGAAGGTAGGAAGAAGGGGAGTATTTAGAGGGAAAGATAATGAGTTCTGTTTTGGACATGTTGAGTTTAAGATGTCTATTGGACATCCAGTTCAAGATGTAAGAAAGGCAGTTGGAATTATAAGACTGGAGGTCAACAGAGAAATTGGGACAGGAAAGGTAGATATGAGAACCACCAGCATAGAGATGTTAATTAAATCCATGGTTGCTGATGAGATCACCAAGTGAAGTAGTATAGAGGGAGAAGAGAAGAGAGCTCAGGACACAACCCAGAGAGACACCTACAGTTGGAGAACTTGATCTGGAGGAGGATTTAGCAAAGGAGACAGAGAAGGAGTAGTCAGATAGGGAGGAGGAAAACTAGGAGAATGGTATCCCAAAAACCTAGAGAGAAGAGAATATCAAGGAGGAGAGAGTGATCAGTAGTGTCAAAGTTCTGCAAAGAGGTTAAGGAGAATGGAGATTAAGAAACGGCCACTGAATTTGGCAAGTAAGAGCTAGAATGCACAACAGACATCACCCAACAGAATCCTCTCATTCAAGATGAAGAAACTCAGGCTTGTAGAGTGAATTTGCTCTTCCAAAATTACCCCTCCTCCACCAAATGAACAGCATGACTGAGGTTTGAACCTGTCTTCTCACTCTAAATTCAATGTTCTTACCACTACTCCACATTGAAAAATGTCACAGCCTGCAAGGGTCTATGCTGCATCTTTCCATTGTCCTTTGAGTTGTACGTATTAATGAAAGAAACCGTTCATACAAACTCAGTGAGCCTAGGAACAATCACATTCCTTCTTAAATTTATTACAACATAAAAGCTCTGCTAAAGTAGGACCTGTATAAATGGAACAAACCAAATAATAAGATTCATCACTTTTTTGAAGTGGAGCCTTCATCCTCTAAAATCATATTCTAAGGAAGAGTTCCCAAGAATTACACATTCTATTCAAAACTACCTGAATTCTCATTTAAGAACACATATACACACATATGCAAGTGTGTGGTGTGTGTGTGTACATACATATATATGTATATGTATGTGTGTATGTATACATACACACATACACATATACACATATTATATAAACGATTTTTAAAGTCTTTATAAAGTTCTTACTGTGTACCAAACATTGTGCTAAGTGCTCAGATATATCATATATAGGGAAAATAGCCTCTGCCACAAGAAACTTACATTCTAATGTGAGAGTCAACATATAAGCAAGTAGTGGCTATAGATTGGATTGGAAAATGAAGGGGGTGGTGAGTAAGGCTATAGGGGACTACATTAGCACACCCTTCCTAGCAGCAATGAAAAAGTTGATATGTTTATAATCTTAGAACTAGCTGTAAAGGATAGTGGGTACATGGCAGCAGAGGGAGGCATGGATAGATTACATGAAGATGGCCAGAGAATGAAGGGAGTGAAGCATCACTGGAGCCAGGGCCAGATATAGTGGGTAATGGAGGCAACCACCCATTGTAACAGCAGGGCCCAGGTTTGACTTCCAGTCATGAAGGGAAGAAGTCTTCCAAGTCTTGGTTTTATTCAAGAGGACATAAATTTCTTCCTCAGAAAAAAGTTGGCTTCTTGACAAATTTTATCACTGAACCCAGATGGAGGGACTGGAGGGAGTCTGTGGGCCCATACAGCCAATGGGCCAGCTGGCACTCCTCTGAAATGACTGTCACTCCTAAATTCTAGGCTCACCTCTTCCTTTCTGTTATTGTAGAACTTCTGTAACAAGGGAGCTAGGCTGTCCCTGGCAGCATGCAGGGCAGAAATATGCTATTTTTCCTCTCCTTGGATAGTTTAAGCTAATCTACCATTACTTATGAAAAGCTGTAGATGAAATGATAGAAACTACAATAATCCAATGTCAAAACCCTGACTGTATTTGGCTTATTAGGCTATTATGTATGCAGTTGTTACAAATGAAATATCTCTTTTCATTTATTGCTCTCAAAATGTAATTTTTAATTAAAAACATATATTAAGCTAGCATTTGAATTAGAGATTTGATGGGGGACTAGCTGTTATCATTTGATAATCAATAACCTAGAAAATTATGGATCATTTCAAAGTGGAAACTGCTTCATAAAGGCATATTTCCCAAGGGAAAAATGGGGAAGTCATGCCTCCTTGTCACAGCACATATTTTTTCCCCTGAAAGCATTATTAAAAATACAAAATGTTATTTGTATCTCCATGTGTGTTACAGAAAAGACGCATTCCATCTCCAAGGCAGCCTGGACAGTAGGGAATGTAATGTGACACATGCTCTGATAAGTATATATTTCTTGTTGAATGACAAAGTAAATATTTGCATAAAAGATGAATACATTTTTGTCAGCGTGTAAAATACTGCTGTCCTGGAGCTATAATAACTCAGTCTTCTTCTTTTTTTCTCCTCTCCCTCTCCCCCACCAACAATTTCCCCCTGAATATGTATCCTCCAGATAAAGCAAGGTTAAATTGCTGCCTTTTTTTGAGCCTGACAGACAGTTTGGGAGCTGTGAATTGCACTGGCTAGTTGGAAAATTCAGCTTTGCACACAAATTAACTGATTGTGCATAGAGAGGAAAACATAATCTATCTGAGACAATATAGAAAACCAAGATAATAAATACCAGCCTGTGAATCACTTCTATCCTTCACTTGTTCTATGGAGTCATATTACATTTAATTTGATCCCAAACTGAAATTTTGGAACTATGTTGTTTAAATGATTCCATAACATTATCCCCCCTCTCTTTATTTCTTAGTTGAGACTGGAGTAAATGAGAAGAAATGGGGAAATGGGGCTGTTGCTTCTCCTTCTCTTTCTCTCCTCCCCTCCTCCCTCCCCTAATCCAGCCTCCATTCATTTGGAGAAACAAGGTTTACATATATAATTGGTGTATCTCTCAACTTTTATATGTGTAATTTAGGGGAGGGAAGAAAAGGAGAAGGTTATTTAAATTAAAGTCACTGAGGGGGAAGGAAATCTGTCTCTGTTCACATCTCAGCACTCTATCTCAGTGACCTTGAAAGAGTGACTGTATAGCCCTCTAATCAATCAGATAAGGAATACCAACAGTTTCCTTCACTAGTTGTTGTCTTCTCTACTATTTGTCATTACTCCTTCATAAGTACACATACATATATACATACATATGTATGTATGTCAAATGAGGGTAACTGTGATGCTGATAATGCACTGAATTTCTTTAAGGCTGAAAATAGGTCAAGGAGGTCCAACCTTACCCTCCTGTCTAACACATGATTCCCAAATGATGGTTTATCTACTCTGAAAGAATGATCTTCTGCTGAAAAGTCCATTTCTCTCCCTGTATAATCTTATGATCAAAGCATTAGAGATCCAAAGAATTTCAGTGACCATCTAGTCCAACTTCCTCATTTTATAGATGACAAAGAACAAACTAGGCCCAAAGAGGTTAAGCCACTAGCCTAAGGTTACAGGCAATAAGCCACAGAAGCACGTTTTGAACCCAGTAATAGTTATCATTTATATTGTGTTTTAAGGTGCTCTTTACAAATAATATCTCATTTTATCCTCACAACAACCCTAGGAAATAGGCTCCACTATTACCCCCATTTCACAGATGAGGAAATTGAGGCAGACAGAAGTTGAGTTACTTGTCTTGGGTCATATAGTGAGGCTGAATTTGAGGTCAGGTCTTCCTGACTCTAAGACCACCACTCTATCCACTGCACCACCTAGCTGAACAAGTCTCCTGACAGTAAACCAGTGGTCTTTTCATGTTTATTAAGTGCCCTGAAGGTTGGGAGTGAAGAGTAAAACAGTAACTACCACCATAACAGATTTATTTTCAAACAAGATGGTCCCACTATAAAAGTTCAGTGGACTTCTCTTTGTCCAAGCTCATGGTTTACCAGCAGACTGGTCAATTCAGTTTCCAATTCCATGTGAAATCATTCACCATCACAGCCTTAGCCACTTTGCTGGGAGGTGAGAAAGTAGTCAGTATTTTAAAACTGAGGTGAATAAATAAGACAGCCAAGTAGAGTGCTGGCTATAGTCTTCTGGAGTCAGGTAATAAAATGGGGATTGGGCTTTTAAACTTGTATAAAAAGCAACTGGTATTGGAGTTAGGCATGAGCTGCTATCTATTTTGTGTTTTAACCTGTAAAATTCTTTGAAAAGATATACTTCCTTCTAGGTATTTTTTAATACCTAAAAAAAAAAATCTCTAAGACAATATTTGAAATCCACACTCAAACACATCATTAGCCAACCCTTCACCCCTGGAGACCAGTGAGCAAGTTATAGATTTTCAGTGTTCTTTGGGAAGAAATCTATTTAGCTAGAGTACCTGTCCTGTCATATGGGCGATTGGCGAAGGGAAAAAGACATATACAAGTTGGGGGAGGGCCAGAGGGAGGAAGAATTGAGCTTCATTTTTAGAAAACCTAAATGAAAGACTATTTCCCATTCTCAGAAGAATTCCAAGGTGAGAAAGTATAAACAAAAGAAATTTTTGCAAACACACACAAAACAAAATCTACCCTATGGCACCATTCCAGAAATGCTAACCAATCAGAATTATCCAGCTAGAGATCAGAAGGTTACTTAAGAGTCAAATAGAGAAATGAGAGAGAGGCCTCTTTAGGGGTTAGGCCCTGCTGTCTCGATTCTCCACTTTCTTATATTTAATTCATTGTAACTGTCAAAAGAGGAGAAATAACCAAATGTTGTTTGCTTTTCTATTGTTAAAAACAAGTACACAGAACAACAAAAACAAGAGAACTCAACCAGGCTGTGTAAGTATTTTCAACTCTGCTTTTTCAAAGGGGAGGAAACTGTCACAATTTAGCATAATCTGGGGAGAAGGCACACATTCTAACATCGTTGCTGTCTGTATGCAAATGTACTCGGTAAACTGACCAAACAAACAAACAGACTTTCCAGTACTAACTTTAAAGAAGAAATACCTTATAGGACTGGAAGAGACATCAGGGTCACGGGCAGTCACCTGACCAATCACAGAGTTAATGGCAGCATTTTCATGGACTTCCAGAAGATACGTAGGTGATGAGAAGACAGGAGGTTCATCAGCATCCTCCACTACGATTTTTACTGTAGCTGTATCCTTGAACGGTCCCCTGCTGCTGAAGCGAGGATCAATATGAACATTGGCCGCTTCTACCTTCAGTGTATAGGATTTTTTGGTCTCAAAGTCCAGGGGCTGTTAAGAATGACAAAGATGAATGTCTCTCACTAATGACCACAGAAGCAAGAACAAATGAATATAATGCTGATGGATGAAAGTTATGTGCATTTAAACACATTCAGTGAGCTTTAATGCAATTGCTTCCCATTCCCCAGGATCCAACCTGTAAATTTTATAGGCATTTATTGATATTTGTTTATTATACAGGCTCAGTGAAAGCAATCTCCCGTTGTTCTGTTTTGTTTTCCTCTTTTCCAGGGAAATTCACAAAATATTCTTCGTCATGAATTGTACCATCAAAATTTCACTTTGAATCCGTAATAAAATTTTACTAGTGTTGATGTGACCTGCATACTAATCACACATTTAATCGGTCCTCTGCTAGTAGGAGATAAGGAGGCATCGCACACCATCTCTATCTGAGAAGAATATTTTATTATTTCTACAACACTATGTGAAATGGAAAGGGACAGAAATAACCACTGTTTAGTCTAAAGAGACAGTATAAAGCAGAATTTAACACTAATCCCAATAAAAAAGTAAGTATGCTTTAAAAAAATAACTCTGCTTCCTAAGAATTCCTGCACCATTAATCAGGAGAATAAATTAGGTTTATTTTCCTCAGGATTTCCTTGAAAGCATTCTATCCTGTTGTTGTACTACATAGACAGGTATCCTTATGAAGAGATGTATGTATGTGTATGTGTGTTGGTGTGTTTGTTTTTTAACTAGACACCCAAAGACAAGAAAGAGGATGGTATAAATAGAGTATTGCTTATACCTTTCCCACCCTTTTAGAAGCCACCTGAAGCTGCCTCATTGCAGCATTACTGACAAAATTTTAGTCATTCATGTTTCATATCTTTAAAAATCATAAAATCATAGCTAATGAAGGCACTGGGTAAAAAAATGTTCCTTGAATAAATCCATATTAGAACTTGACACAACACACATCTGCATCTGCATCATCACAATGCCATTCTCTGCATCTCATAATAATTTCAAATTTCAAGGACACAAATTTGAGATGTCTCAAAAAAGGTAGTTAGATTTGCATTACAATTTCTCATAAAAAATAGAACTTAAGATGTGCGAGGTAGGATAAAAATGGGAACACGAACAGAAATTATCAAACTCTTTCAGAAAGTCTGTAAAAGCTTAAATATACATTCTTACTTTCAAAAATTTGTGTTGATTTTTGTATTTGAAGTGTGCTCTAATGGGACTTTGCTCTTTTGCAAAATTTTCTAGTAAATAAGCCAAGCATACTTACTTTTCTCGTCTTTTCTGAAATTACTAGCACTTGTACCTATGAATAGATTATTCAACATCAGCATATCCACAGTTTGCCAATCATACCTCCTGCACCTATTTTGTGATTTCATTTTCTCTGCAGACACCAGTGGGTCTCAGGATATACATACATACATGAACATATACATATATACATATACAAACATGTATATGTATGTATATATATCACACACTTGATTCCTTGCTCATCATAACCACAATTTGCCCAGCAACACTGTAATGACGTGAATTTCCATTGGTGGAAAAGAAATCTATTGCTTTTTGTAAATAATACTCCCTATAAACTGCTTACTGCAACACTACTGTAACCCAGAAGTGACTCGTGGTGGAGAGACAAATATTCACAGTGACAATTTGAGGGCTTTTGAGTTTATGAATAACTCTGAATGGAGATGGAGCAAAAGGTTAATTGCTTTAGTTCATAAAAAAAGTCTCATAGTATCCAATGGATAACTAATAATAACAATAAAAATGACATTGGGGGCCCTTAGCATCTTTTTCTCCCACAGAAACATGTCTTGGTTGGTCGATTTAAATAGCCCTTTCTCACCTTCTATTTCAAACATAAGCCACCTTTATACACCTTTTCATTGCTATTCACTTCTTAGTATTAGACACAAACAGGGCTCTTGGTACTCAGATCCCCTAGTCCCCCAAAACAGTCCTGCTGTTTTTAAAGCTACCCCACCATTATCAGCCAACTATTTTTAGGCTGCTAAATTACCTAAATGCTTTGGTGTGTAGTAATCACTGCATAATTAAAATCTGAGGGATCAATATTAAAAATGCTTCCATTTTTAATATAGGGAAGCATCTGAAGCCAACTGGCTGCAAATGCTTCATCACATTGTGCCTTAAGTTGCTTTCATTCATCTATTTGACAAATGGAAATTGAGAGGAGACAAGGCTGTAGCTCATTATAGTATGGGATCTTCTGCTCACTGGGTCATTAGGTGCAACTACCAGGGGATGATTGAGAAGGTCAGAAGTGTGTTAGTAGGACATGATGGAGAGATATTGGGACAGGAATTGAGGTAGGTATTAGATTAGATGGGTTCAAAAATCCCTTCCAACTCTGGAAATTGATGGTTCTATGATTCCTTCCTCTAGAGAATGTGGAGAAAACTTGAGTGGAAGAAACCTGGTTTGGGTATCAGAAAAGCTGTGTCCTAGTTCTGGTTCTGCCACTGATGATCTCGATGACCTTGCACAAGTTCCTTGGGCTTCAGTTTCCTTACATGTGAAAGGAGGTTGTTGGACCAAGTGAGTTCTAAATCCCTGTCTCTCTCTAAAGTACTCTATGTTTCAGAGTTTCAACCACACTCTTAATATACTACCACTCCATAAGCTGTTATGTTTTCTAATATATGGGCTCATACTATTATAATCAAAATGGTTATTTCATAAATATTTGATGAACCTTGGTTAAAACACATATGCTGAAAGCAGGGCTGTGCAAAGGCATCTGGATGGGAAATGTAGTGGCACGTGTGAGGAAAAGCAAGAAGGTTAAACGTTAGAGTACATAAAAGGATGATATATAAGTCTATATAGACTGGAGCCTATGTGCTAAAAAGACTTCATCTAACAAAGTCATCCTCTAATGTTCTTTCTGTCTCTGTCCTTTAACAAATTAGGTTACAAAAGTGTTTTAAACACAATCAATATCTTAATATGAAATCTGTTCAAATTCTTAATTATATTTTACCTTTCTCAGCCTAATAATGCCATCTTGGGCCTGAGCATCTGAAGTAATTTCAAATAGAGCTGTCCCATCGCCATCGATGATGTCATAAGATGACCTGGCATTCTCACCAATATCCTGGTCATTTGCTTTGACTCTTCCTATTGCAGTGCCAAGAACAACATCTTCAGGTACTGAGAAGTGATACAAACCTTAAAAACAAGGGGAAAACACTGAACATTAGATCAGGCTGCAACTCTCCTACCATGCTTCTCCCTCTTTCCTGACCTCCTTGAGTGGTTAGATGGGATACAAGACATAAACAAACCATATTTATTCGAGCTATGTACTTAGAGCAGCATAATGTGGGAATACTTGGTTGATTCTGTGTGAATGCTCCTCTTTTGAATTGCTATATCATCCCATCTACTGCCTGCGGGGATGTTCAGTGTTGCCAAACATAAAATATTAAGCTATTTTCAACACAGAAAGATGCAATGTGTGACACACTGCAAGGCACTTTTGAACTTACCTTTGTATTTACAGACTTGTAGCCCATTTTTGATAAAATCCAATTACTAAACTTCTGCTGTGCCCTCCAGCAAGCTGTTCAGATACATGAAAGATTTCTCTTGTTACTAAAGTCCTCACCGCTCTGATGACCACACATCCTGCCTTCAAACCTCTCTAGACAGAATACAATTACAGTGTGTATTTATTCTTCTGTGGGGTAGAAAACTGTCTAATTAGTGGAGATTCAGGAGTCTTCCCATTCATATTTCAAAAGATACAATAACTACTTCAGACAATGAATTACTGTGCTCATTGGTTTGCCAAGGACATCTTAATGCCTATGAAAAACCAGCTTGTGGGCTATAACATCCAGAAAGGAAAACTCAGCAAAGTATTACCTGAGATCCAGTTCTGGCTTTGACTAGAAATATCCTAAAGGAAGTCATTTTCTTCCTCTGAGACCTAGTTTCCCCATCTGCCAAATGAGGTGACTGAACCAGTTAATCTCAGAGGTTGTTTTCAGCTTGGACATTCTTTAATTGTATTTCTCATTTCATTTGATCTTACGAGTTTTTTGCTGTTGTTGTTTCTGCTAAGGTGGAATTTGTCTCATATCCCTTCGAGTCCATTTAAAGTTTATTCTTTTCCTTCTGGCCTACCACTTTCTCCCTCTGCCTCCACATACACAAAAACAGAAATGCATGCCACTATGTCCCGTAGGTAGTGGGAGTAGAGGAAGAACACAAAGGCTGTTCTCTCTTTCCAAATAATTTTAATTGAGAACCTGTTATTGGTACACAGAAGACATGTCTAACTCATCTTTTCCAAATCCTTAATAAGTGATCTAATTGAGAAATCTAGAATAGTGCAGCTGACAGAGTGCTAATCTTAATGTCCAGAAGACATGAATTTGAATCCTGTTTCAGACATTTACTAGCTGTGTGACCCTTGGCAAATCACTCAACCTCTCAGGCTCAGTTTCCTTATTTGTAAAATGGGAACAATCATGACACCCACCACATAGAATTGTGGTGGGAATCAAATTCCATATACATATACATATATATGTATACATGTATGTATATATATATGTGTGTGTGTGTGTATATATGTATGTGTGTATAATCCCAAAGCTCTATGTAACATAGTATTATTAGATGAATAATATAGCACTCTAAATTTTGAACAGCATTTCACATAAATCATTTCAATTCAATTCACTAAACATCTATTAAACACTTATTATGTGCCAGGCTGGAGAAGGAAATGGCAAACTACTCCAGTATTTTTGCCAACAAAACCCCATGGACAGTATTGACATGGCCCTTGGGGTCACAAAGAATGAGACATGACTGAATGAACAATGACAAATGTTCCAGGCATTGTGCTAAGTGCTGGGGATACAAAAAGAGGTAAAAGGCAATGCCCACTTTGAAGGATCTTACAATCTAATGGGGAAAATAACACGCAAACAAATATATACAAAGAAAACCATATACAGGATAAATAGGAAGTGATTAACATAAAGCACTGTAATTAAGAGGGGTTAGGGAAGGCTTCCTATAGAAAGTGGGATTTTAGTTGGGACCTAAAGGAAGCCAGAGATATCACTCATTGGAGTGCAGAAAAGAGATTATTCCAGGCATAAGGGTCAGAGAAATTTGGACTTCACAATAACCCTATGGCTGGTGCTATAATCATCCCAACTTTCCAAATGAAAGAAGTGAGATGTTAAGATGTGAGAACTTGTCCCAGGGTCATGCCGCTATTAAGCTTCTGAGGGGGAATTTTTCCCTAGAGCTTCCTAATTTAAAATCCAGCACTCCAACCACTGTGGTCCCCTGACTCTAATTCTAAGAAAATTTGTATCCCAACTAAAATTAAACCCAATCTCATTTAGATATGATTTTAATTAAGACAGATATCAAGCAAACACATTCTGATACTTTTAGAGCTACTATGGAAATCTTTAAGAGGTATTGCAAATGGTATCTCCTGAACCTGTTATTTTCCTTTTTTCTCTGCATCAATGTTACTATATTTGATATTGACTTCTTCTAACAAAGGGAATGATTTTTACCCTAATCTGCCATTACTGAATACAAACAACAATTTTCTGAGGAAGAAGGGTGGCTAATTAGATGAGCCTTAAATGGCATTGGCAGCCTTAAATGATGTCAGAAAGTGGAAAAGGAGGAAGTTTCCACTTCAGACCTCACTCAAAGCATTCATCAAAGGCAGTCTACTATTTGAAAGCAGGTTTTCATTTGAAAACAGGTTCATCAACATTGCCCCTCCATTCTTTCTCTACTTGAATTTCCAGAGAGGAATAATTGTCTTTTGACATTATTAGGGTTTGTGCCATTTGATTGAAGGGGAAGCCAAACATTTATCTTGAGCAAGTTAACTAATAGCCATACGAGCCATATTTACATTTGCCCTTATTAGTACTCAGTCTGAAAATATATATTGTAGGCATCATTAAAGAATTCATTCCCCCAACCCCCACCAAAAATCCCCTAAAAATTCAGAAGAAATAAAAATTAGGGAGCAAACATATTTACCAGAGGCAAAAAAAATAAAAAAATAAAAAATGTGCCTTCCTAAATAAAGGAGCTCTCTTCCTATTATCTTCTCCCTAGCCAGATTTGACTGAAAAAACACAGTTTCAAGGTCTTCAAACATTTCATTATATCCAGAATGTATCACTAACGATCGTTTTGTTGACTACTGGATTTAAAAGGCCCCTTTGGACACTAGACATTTAGTTGACTCTGGACAGTGCATTCTGATAAAACTTTGTGTAATTTCTGAGGCATATGTGTTGAAAGACCCACTTTCTATTCTATGCTTGAATCTCCTTTCAGTCCCAGAATGAGCCAAAAGCTGTCTCTGCTTGTGAACTTGTTCGCCATAGCCCCAAAATGGCTTTGGTTTTCCCCTGCTGCTGCATCATGATTCATATACACCTTATCATGCATTAGTTTATCCAAGTAAAAGGAAACATTGAGAATTCCTGCGAGAAATGGGTAAAAAGCATCTAAGTTTTAACCTATCAAGAAAGGTAAAGTTGTAGAAGCGGTATCAAGAGGAAACCCAAGAAATTCAGGGCAGAGATAAAGAGGAGGAAGCACAAGGGTAAGAAAGATTTGAAAGAATCCAGAAAACAAATTACGATTTTGCCCAGGGATGGCCCAAACCACCTTCCCCTGCCACTGTACTTCAAATATGTTTAAGAGGTAATCAATCATATCTCTTCACTTTTCACCCTTCTGCTGAAATGGACATAGGTGACTTGCTAGTGTGAATGATGATTTAATGAAAGGGCCAAGCTTCTTCAAGAAGCTGGATGACCCTCACAAAGTCATTTCACAGGCACTGAAGCTATGGCAGGCAGCTTTTTCCTGGGAATAGCACTACTCAGCTATCCAGGAAAACAGGGTTCTAGTTCCAGCTCAACCTTGAATGAATCATTTCCTTATGCTTCACCCCCCAAAAAAAATTCTTCCTTAAGCTCTAGTGGGATGTTTTGATATCTACCATTTGAGTCTCATTCTTTTGGCCTAAGACTCTGTTCCTTATTAAAACGTAGGTATGGGTGACTCAGTTTTTTCATCTATCAAATCAGAGCGATGAATAATATGATCATTAAGGTCTCTTCTGGCTCAAACATTTTCAGGAAAGTTCACTAAATTTAAAACTAGATCTAGGCTTAAGTAGCTGGGCTTTTATCACTGCAAAGCTTTATGGTCATAGGCAAGTCACTGAAACTCCCAGCCTCCTTGGCTAAAGAAAGAGAAGAATATTTAATTGTACAAGTGACTCTTCAAGGTAGGTGTTTGGTATGAGGAAAGCAGATTTAAAATTGCAAAGTATGATAGAAACATGAGTCAGTTTAAGTGCTACACATTCAATTGTTTCTAATAAAGATAGCCATCAAGAACCTAGTCAAGGCTCCTGGATCTCCTCTGTCTTTGTGCCAGCACTAGGAAACAGGGACCTGAGCTTTTATTTCATACTAATAGTTTAGTGAAAATGAGAAGTCCAGTTATAGATCAGTATTCATTGTGTTTGGGGGAACAGACCCATCATTGGACTGATCCTGGGAAAGGTGTAAAGTCATTATACTTTCAGTTTGGACCTATCCAACTCAAATTTGTGTGTATCTTTTTTCCCTTCTCCATTAGCCCCCTTTCAGTGATCCATTATAGAACCACAGTCCTAATGGTGAAGTGGATGCCAAGGGCCATCTATGAAATGACCTTTTTTTTTTTTTAAACAGATGAGCAAACAGATCTAGGGCAATTAATGTGCCCAAAGTCTCTAGAAAACTTTAGAGGAGAGAGTTGTCATAAGTAGTCATACTTAACCTCTGATTCCTGTTAATCTCTCTTCTTGAGAACTCATTCATACAAAAATTTCCATGCTTGATAATGTTTAAAGTGTTATTCTTTTCTACATAGACCTGCATTTTAAAAGGGAGCAAGATGTTAAGCTAAAAGAATGAGGCTCGAAAGGCAGGTACTGGAAGATCCCCCTAGAGCAGAGAGGAGGTGTTTGTTTGGGGGAAAGGGAGGAGATTGGGGTGGTGCAGAGTTGAGTCTTCCTAATATTCCTGAAATCATAAATTTCCTCTGCCTCCTTACAAGAGTTTTTCAGTGGGATTCTCTCTCAGAAATTGCAACAAAATAGAGCCGGAAGTGGGGTACCTAGCACTTAATCCAGTGCCTCAATCAGCCTAGCTATTTAATAAAATGTTTGTTAACTTAATGGTTTGAGTCAGATTTGAGTTCACTTCTCTCATTTTACAGGTAAGAAAACTGAGGCCTGAGAGCTGAAGTGATTTGCTCAAGTCACATGGTTATTAATGGGGGAACCAAACCCTAGATCTTCTGGCTCCCAGGCCACTGCATTTTCTCTTGTACCATCTGTGTTCATTTGTGTACTCTTCCTTTCCATCAGCTGCTTGGTGCACAAACAATAAGGGTCAAGGACAAACAAGAAGGAAAAAAGCAGACTGTGCAAATGCTTATTGAGAGCCCTGTGTGTTAGGCTCAGCCCAAAGAGCTGTCTCTTGCCATTACACTGATGTGCTACTCTGTGAAACTCCACATAAAAGTGTCTGCGTCATTAGACACATGCTCAAGTCCATTGCACTCCTGCCCTGCCCTGGCTTCACAAGTGAGAAAACATACTACCCACTATGCCCTCCATAGAAGGGAAAGGAAAGAGCACAGTGATTGCACATCTCATTGCCAGGGTTCGTGTCTCTTGAGTTAAGCACCAGCAGGATTCCTAGTTTTAATGAGTGGCACAAATGAAACTCTATAGGAGAAATTGCACTGTTTATATACCAGGGGGCTGGCAAGCACAATTTATGGCTAGGAAAAATTGGTTTCAAAGAGATTACCTTCTATTTAGATTGTATATATTTCATATGCACTTAATTATTTCATGATGTCTCTTCCATTAGAATGGGCACTGTTTGAAGGCAGGGACCATGTTTGTTTTTAATTTCCTCCTCTCTGCCCCCACCCCCAAGAACTTAGTGCAATGCCTGGCACATAGCAAGCCATTAATAAATTCTTTTTTGACAAATGACTGACAGGCGATCTGAAATATTTCCTTTGTAGTCAGTGTGAATAAGCTCCACAGGAACTCTGGTCACTATATCCTGAAGCAGGAATCTATCTGATGTAGATACCAGTGAGTTACCTATATTGAGATTAAACTCATCATTTATCAATGCCTTTTTGCCCTATTAAAATATGTTGTATTTCTATTAAAATGTTTGGCTGCCCTTCCCCATGTCCCTAGTACTTTCAGTAGTAACTTAAAAGTATATAATTCACAAAGCATTTACCATATTTAATATCATCCAATCTTTATAACTCCTGGAAGAGAAAATATCAGAGAGTGGGATTATATTTATTTTAATGACCAGAAAACTCAGGCATTATAAGTAAAATGGATTGCCCAAGGTCACACAAAACTAGCAGAGAATACCGTAAGAACTCAATCCCAATGCCTTCTGATTCCAAAGTCCAGCACACCCTCCTCTAGACCACAGCTGCCTTTCTACTGAAATGTATCAAAATTTTGAAAAATGCTGTCATCAATAAGGAAAAATCTCCACTTGCACCTGCCTAAAGTTAGGCATCTATATTATATTATTGCCTAACCTCGCCTGCACTATGTAATAAAGCATCCTGAAGCATTTCCATGATGCTTAAATCATGGTTGCTGGTGTGCCTCAAATATCTGTTTGTATTTCTTTATGTATACTTGACCTAGAAGTCTTCAAGCAGTGACTGGATGGTTAATCATCAGGGATGTTCCAGAGGGGCTCACCACCTAGGATCAAAGATGGTCTAAAGCAATGTTGTCAAACTCAAATAGAAATTAATCCATATTTAAAGATCCCTGTAGGGCATATGTTGATGTGGTTTTAAAATATGATGTTATCTATGTTTTATTGTATTTTATTCACCTTGTTAAATATTTACCTGGTTCAAGCTACTTGGGATCATTGCTAGGGTAGGCCATATATTTGACACCTGTAGTCTAGAGGACCTTCAAGGTCCATTTGAGCTCCAGGATTCTCTGAATCTGCATCTACTTTATTACATATTCAGTCAGATTCTCTACCTTTCATAAAGAAAAGAGGACTGGCGTAGAAATATCAGCCTAGCTACTCTCCTGCACAGAAAGGCTTTTGGCTGCCTTGGCAGGCAGGCAGGTTTTTCTCTCGGGGAATCAAATAGTATTCCAAAACTTCATGAAGAGAGGACCAGAGACTCAGTCTTTGAGTTGGAAGGGAACTTGAAAATCATTTTATCAGAACTTTTTGTAGAGGACAGAACAAGACTGAAAAGCTGTCAATCGCTCAAAGCCACGCGGCTTTGGCAGAACTGATCCTCAAGACTAGATTTTCTGATTGGTCTTCTAGTGCTCCTACCATTGTGGTAGACTACTTTCTTCTTTCATACTCTAAAACCAAACTCTGAGGACTTAAGGAAAGAGTCATTTACTAGAGATATGAAAGGCAAAAACTGCAAGCGCCCCTCTATATTTCTCCTTGTGCTAAAATAGGCATCTCTAGTATCCCTATTAACTCTTTTAGGATTCTGGGATATTATAGTATTAAAATTACTGAAGTAGGAACATTACACACACATAAGTAGACATGTATATATATATATATATATATATACACACACACACACACATATATATATACACATATATATATATATATACACACATATATATATATATTCCAAATGGGACCTATTAACTGTTATAATATCATATAATTTATGTGTTATCATTGATTAATTCCACATAAATGCATTTCCCAGGTAACTGAAGTCATTCAGTTAAAAAAGAAATCATTTAAAAAGAAAATACTTGTTGTGATATCATTATCAGATTTTCTTGCCTTCTTAAATATAGTTGATACAACAAGGAGCTGTGATTTCAACTATGTGAATATTGATGAAGATCACAACATATTAATCCCTTAGGAATTGGGTTAATGAGGTGTTTTGTGTGTGTGTGTCTGTGTGTGTCTGTGTTTGTTTGTTTGTTTGTTTTTTAGTGGCCAGGTAATTATAATCTCTGTGGCTAAAATCTTTGTTGAAGAACCACTCCGAATTGACCTGGTTCTCAGACAAAGGACATAGGACAGTCCACTGATGGGCCTGTATCTGAAATACAAAGCATTTACAGAAAATGCAAAGCATTTACTCCATTTCCAAAGCCCAGGGAAATCCAGTGTCACCTATTTGCCACAATGAGGCATCAGAAAAGGATTTTAGTTGAGCAAAGACACTGGACATTATTTGTTGATGAATTAAAATTAACATTAAGAACACCAGTGATTGTTCTGTGTGCACATGAATGGCTTTGGAGACAACTGAGATATCTGTCCTTATGCAAAATGACTGTCACGCTTCTGTGATTTTCCTCTTCTTTGCTGTTAATTCCCAGTTTTTATTGATATCATCGAGTCATCCACTAGCAAAACTTCCCTACATCTCCCTTACTCAAAACATACGCTACTGTTTTAAAAGTAAAATAATCAAGCTTTTAGAAACCACTTTCCTTAATTTACACATAATTTTTAGTTAATAGTCTCTAGTGTGGTGTCTTGATGGGGGCTCTAGACCCTTTTTCTTGAAGGGCATGGATTTTATGATAGCTATTTTTTTTAATTAGCAAAAATCCTTTCTCCCTTGCTTCTGAGTTTGTAACTTGTTTCCTACAGCTTAAGTTTTCTTGAGATTTAACTATTGAATCTGTGGGATTTTACTGTATTTAGGTTTGAAGTCATAATTTATTAATATATTAATTCATAAGCATAATATATTAAATATAATTGTTGACTTTTTGTGCCCAAGTTTGAATCAGAGAGAAGGAATTTCTTTTATTTCACAACCTTAGTCACTAATGTATAAAGTATTAAGATTTTGTAAGGTCTAACATGTATGTAACTCTTGTCCAATTTTAACCTCAATGAACCATAAAATACAAATGGAAGTTCAGAAATAGATCCCAACCAAAAATAGTTGTCACTTACTCTGGGCAAACTTGGGAGGATTGTCGTTGACATCAGTAAGTGTAACGGTGAGAGTTGTGGTCCCAGACAAGCCTCCTGAATGCCCACCCATGTCTTTGGCTTGGATGACCACCAAGTATTCCTCCTTTGCTTCTCTGTCCATGTTGGGAAGAGCTGTTTTAATAATTGCTACAAAAGAAAAAAAAGTGGCATATTAAGCCAGAGACAAAATTAGAAAATGGGCCTACATACTGATTATGTCCTTTTTAAAGCTTAAGTTATATCAGAAGACTATAGAATAGGAAAAAAAATACAGAATTTGGAGTCCGGACACCTGGGTTCACAAAACTTTTCTGTGATTTATTAGCTGTACAGTCTTAGACAAATTAAGTCATTCATTTGGACCTCAGTTTCATTATCTGTAAAATGAGGCTGATAATAATACTCAAATTGCTTTCTTTACCAAGTTATTGTGAGGAGAGTAATTTGTCTACTGAAAAGCTGTTTATAACTTGTTATTCAATATTGTTGCCATGATCACAAGAATTACCTAAGGAAGAACTTGAGAAATATATAAACTAACACATAATCTAGATTTTCTTTTCTCCAAATTAAAACGTAAATCATAGTACCATCATATTCATACAATTGTTCTGTGGGAAAAATTACTAGCAAATGAATCCTAACATCTATTACATATCTGAATTCTTTTGCAAAAGGACATAAATATACAAATAGCTAAGAGCTTTGGTATCAAAGATAAATTATTATAAAACCCATAAATATATTAAAGGGATGTACATAACAAATACAAATTTGAAGCTACAAGAAAATGACAGTATTAAATGACATAATAATTGATGATGATAATAATAATCTCACCATAGCATATACTCATAATAACCAAGCTAAACATAATTTTTAAAGCTTTAAAATATAGAGAAGAAATCCAATCATGTGGAGAAAAGACAGGTACATATCATTTTGCCTGCTACTGGAGTTTTCCCAAAGATACTTTCAGGCAGCATTCAAAAGTTGAGCTTATAGCCCAATACTTATGTTCAATTACAAATTATATTAAACACCTGTGCAATAAATAGTCTAGCTAACATTGTGTCAAATATTAATACCAAGATAACTTTCCTCAGTAGTGTTTGTCTTTAAAATTTGTTGAACAAGAAGATAAAAATGAAATTATGATGATGAACAGCTCACATATAATTTTATATTTATACAACACTCTAAAGTTTGCAAAGCACTTTACCTCGAAGGTAGATTATAAAAGTAGTATTAAACACAAATTAGAGATTAGAAAAATGGGGCTCAGAGATAAATTACATAATAGTGATAACAATAACAACAGTAATGGTAGTGGTTAATATTTTATAGCACTTCAAGGTAGATGGTAATGCAGTGGATAGAATGTTAGAAAGACCCAAGTTCTAATTCAGTATCAAGCACTTTATTAGTGGCATGACTCTGAGAAAGTCATTAAACCTCTGTTTCCTTCAATTTCTTCAACTGTGCAATGGGGTTAAAAACAGAAACTCCCTTGCAGGGTTATTGTAAGGATCAAATGAGATAATATTTATGAAAGTTCTTAGCATGATGTCTGACACATAGTAGGTACTATATAAATAATTATTTCCTCCCTTCTAAGGTCTGCAAAGGATTTCACATAAATTAACTCATGTGTAGGTTTATTATCATCCCCATTTTACAAGGGAATATACTGAGGCTAAGAGAAGTTTTGGCCTTTCCAGGATCACACTGTTAATAAGCATCTGAAATTCAAATCCAGATGTTCCTGATTCCATCTCAAGCATTTTATATACTATATCATGCTTCCTCTCAAAGTTATGTAAATAAGGGTGCAGACCATTGAATAAATCATTCAAATCACTCCGCCCAGTGTAAAATAAGTATCAAGATACTAAACCTTTGTATTTTAATGAAGTGAGAACATTTTGCTATTGAATCAATCAATATAAACTTTAAATAAGTGTAGATGCTCCCTTGATAAATTGAAATGACCTCATACTTGAAGAGCAGGAAGAATGTTCAGGTTAGTTGAAGAAACTTGGTCATGCCCTATGGATCATCTATAAAATATTGAGTCAATTCAGGTCCAAGAGATTCAGACATCTGGTGGAGGAGATGAAATAGAGATACCCCTGAGAAGGTATCATTAGTTGAGAGAAGAGAGCATCTGAGCCTTAAGTCTGGGTATGTTCCCCTTTCTCTTAACCAAAGGAGGAGCTAGTGAATTTCAGAGCAGCAGAGCATTTGGACTTTTTCACTGAGATCCTAGTAGCACTCTCCAGGACAGCAGTGGCTGGTGAGAGTGTCTGCATAATAATTCTATGAAAGACTAGATTAAATATGGAAAGCTGATTCAAGTCTCAAGGTTCAAGAGGATTCAAGCCCAGCAGAAAAAAATGCACTATACCCAAGGGGAATAAAGCCACCAATAAAATTACTTCCAGGAGGTATTATGCTACCCTTTTGTCACAGGTGTTCTCTAAACTTCAGCTGCAAAATCTATGGAATTTGAATATACTTGTGGGAGAGTATGTCATGGACTATTAGAGGAATGGCTTATACAAACTATGCTTACCAGGCCACCTTAGCTAATTAATCTGGGTAAATAATTTATAATAATTGAAAATCACAACAAGAAGCATGGTAGCGTGGCCTCATGATCAATAATACTACTCACCCCAACCCCACCTACTCACAACCTCTTAGTTTGGAAATGGAGCTAAACACTGAGGGTACTAACTGATCAGTGTGAAAGGAAGTGAGGAGAATAATCTCAGAGCAAAGGAACATAATTAACCCTAAATGTGGAAGACATGTCTTCTGACTCCATAAGTCAGTATTTTTTTCCACTATTGAATGATTTTAAACTGGGAAGGGCATAGAAATCATCTCACAATTTATTTTACATCTTTAATAATTAAGGTGCAGAGAGGATTAATGAGTTACTCTGTGTCACATATATAGTTAGAAGCAGAATCAGTTTTCAACCTTGGTTCTTTGACATTAAAAGTCCTGTTCTCTTTCCATCACACTGAACTTCCTTTTTAAATCAGCACATTTTCTTTCATCTAGGGGAAAGACAACATTCTCTTCATCCCCCCAGCAATTCTATAAATGTTAAACCCAATTGGAAAATGTGACACTTTCTCTGTGACTATTTTTTTATTGTAATCCTGTTTTTTGAACCATATGTTTTAATGAAATCATCTGTCTGTAAAAAGAGTGCAAGGAGTTCATGTTAGCGAATCATTTGAGTTGTCAGAGCGCCAAGGGAAATCTAATCCACCCGGGCAGTGGGCTTTTGAAAGAAAGCTCAAAGCTCTAGGGCTCTTTATTAGACATAGAGACTACTTTTCTTTCAGGGATTCCCATTCAGAGAGCACTCAACTGGAGGACATTGCTTATTTGGAAACATTTGCTATAACTCAATAATATGCTTGGATTCAGTAGGTTGTTTCAAAAAGTAATCATATTACACTGTAACTCTATGGATCCTACCCACATCATTATATCTCTATTAGCTTTCCCCTTTATTTAAAAGGAAAAAAAGAAAGAGAAAAAGGAAGCAAAGTAGGGGGAGGAAAGATGATAGAAGGGGAAGGGAAAGGGGAAGAAAGGCAGATTGGATAAAATCAGAGAGGGAAGAAAAGAAGGGAAGGAATGGGAAGGAAAGAGGAGGGAGTAGAGAGAAAAGGAAGAATAATGGGATTAAAAATTTAGAACTTGAAGAAACCTTAGAGGTCATCAAATCCGACCCTTTCATTTTACTGATGAGGAAACTGAAGCAAGAAAAGATAAAAACTTGCCTAGGCTTACACAGCTAATAAGTGTCAAAGGTAATATTCAAACACAAGTCTTCCAGGAGAGGAGTGGGTAAGGAAGGAGAACCAATAAGAGAGAGTGAAATAGAAAAAATGAAAAGAAAGGAAAGATAAGGAAAAGGGGGAGAGGAAAGAGAAAGTGGGGGAGGAGGGAGAGAAAGGGAAGAAAGAAGAGGCAAGTAAATGAAGAGATGGGAAGGTATGTTAGACAACTAAGAAGTGTTTTAGTAAGAAAATGTCTTAATTAGCATATAAATTATAAAGATGTCCAGATGGCAGGAGTGCTTTAGAAAATACACACACATACACATTTGTATGTGTGTGTGTGTGTGATTACTTTATCTTCAGGGTCAGACTTTCAGAAGGTGGGGTTAGAAAATTGCTTCTTTCTTGCACTATTTCCTATGGGAAAACTATCATTCATCTATTTTAGGTCTTTTTACTCTAACCAAGCACGACCTTGCAAAGTTATGCTATCAATGCTAAAGACTGACACAGAGCTGCCACTGATGTAAGTGAAAATTAGATAGTGTCCTAAGGGAAACTAGCTCACACCATGTTCTAAGGCCCAGGTTAGGGCAAGGCACGCTCTCAAAGGCCCTTAGGTCACCTCAGACATTCATCACTTGTGGTTTGCAGGGTTCCTCCATGGTTATGTAGTTACCTTGTGTCCTATATAATCTTATTCACAGCATCATCTCGGAAGATTTGAAGCCCTATATTTCTATTAACTATTTTTGAATACCATTATGAGTAGCTGAGTAGTTGAAAGTAATGTAAATTTTAGATCAGGGCTTGATTTATTTGACTCAGTCAGAAAGGTTAGGGACCTCACAGTCTCGAAAATGAGAGGGTTCCTTAGCTTATAAGACCTGGCATGATAAGTTAAATAAAGACTTCAGTCAATAAGCCATAGAAATAAAGAATATAAAGAGTCATGGGATCATAGGTTTAGAGCTATGATCTTAAAAGTCATCAAGCGACCTTAAAAGTCATCAAGTCCAACATCCTTATTGTAGTACACATGAGAAAACTGATGTTTTACCTGTGTAGATACACACAGTAAGTTAGTATCTGGAGGAGGATTCAAACCCAGGTCTTTGTTAGTCCAAGTTGAACTCAAGGGCTGCATATTTCAGTCATTTAGTCATGTCTGACTCTTGATGACCTCATAGACAATACTGTCCATGGATTTTCTAGGCAAAGATACTGGAGTGGTTTGTCATTTCCTTCTCCAGTGGATTAAGACAAACAGAGGTTAAGTGACTTGCCCAAGGTCACACAGCTAGTAACTCTGAGGCCATATTTAAACTCAGTCTTCTGGAG